ACCATCGAGGAACATCTTTGCTCATTTAGCGACAAATCCACGCACGAGATCGAAAAGTGCACGGGGAGTGGACGTCCGAGCGATGGCGAGAGGATGATGAGCATTGCATCCCGAGGCCTTCTGCGGGGTCCTCCTGCAATGGGGTCGGTTCCCTGCCGGACGGTCCGGGTCCCAGCCGGGCGGTTCGGGTCCCCACCGGTAAGAGAACCAGGACGGCTCAGATTCCAACCGCCACAGGGTATGTTTGAATATGGTCTTGCATGATGAAATGGGCAATGGCCGCCGACTGGTGCCCATACAGGAATACATTCGGTTTTCGTGGAGTGCAGTTGGGATCTAGACCACTCCGCTGCCCTATGGTCTGAGAGTTCTCAGTGGCGGCCCTATAGAAACACAAGACACTCCAAAGATTGTAACGTATACCCATGTATACGAAGCGAACACAACAGGTTTTAGAACGCATGCGATACGTATGGGACGTGTATACGACCCTTGTACGACATCTGTACGGGGCAGATGCGGAACGCACACACAGCACATGCGAAACGCATACGAAACGAATACGAAGCGTATGCACAGCGTGTATGACACGTGGGCACTACGTCAACGACACGTATACGAAGCGTGCATGGCAAGCATATGAAACGTACATTGAAGCTTGTACGAGACGCACATGACACGAGTATGAAACAGATGCAAAGACTAGATGCACCGCATATACAAGGTAAACGAAGCGAGTCCGAAACGTAGACGGAACGCGAATGATACGTATCGCTGGCACGTGACAGTGAGCGTAAAAAAAGTATATGATGCAACGCAGGCGATACCTACGTGATCCCTGAACTCTTGTCAGGCAGACTTGGAACCCTCCTTGGGCGCCCTCAGGCCGTATGGACTTCAGGTTCCGTTCAATAAGATGAAGAATATGCATTGGACCCTCGGCGTTGTTTGGAAGTTCTGTTGCACAGAATGTTCGCACAACTGGACATGGATTCCTGTCTCATTCAATGCGTAAAGTGAGGCCAAAGTGTTCGGCTTCAGCGTTTCATAACTCTTAAGCAGGGGTCTATGTTGGAGCCCTCTCGGGCGTTCAGCTGCCGTTGTCTCAACCGTCTGATCCCCTACCTTCCGAGCCTTCCGCGCAGCAGGTGCCGCCGCGGCGCGGCAGCGGCGACCGCCGAGACCGCCGCCGCGGCTTCGACTGCGGCCTCTGTTTCGGCCGCGCTGGCGGCGACCGCTGCGCGGCGCCTGCCGCCCAGAAGGTGAGGAAGGTGGAGGTCGAGAGTTTGGGCGTTTTCGGGCCGTCCTAGAACTATTTTGGAGCTCTTCCTCTCGGGGAACCGAAGGGTACCGATACGGCCACTCCCCAGACCGCTCCTGAGGTGCGCTCTGACCAGGATCTCGGGGCGAAACCAGCGGTGACGGCCAGGGGCCTCCCGGAAGGCCGGACAAGGCGGAAGCGAGCGCGAAGTGCAGCGGTACGAGGGCAGGTGTTCCTCGTTGGATTCCCGGGCGCTCTGCTGCCGATGTCTCCGCCCCGTCTGGCTTCGAGAGGGCCGCGGGCGGCGGGCGGCGAGAGAGAGGTGCGCATGCGGGCGCCGCGGGCGGGCACGCCCGGGAGCGGCCCCATGCCGTCCGACACGTCGGAGCGAGGGGGCCGCCGGAGGGCGCCGAAGAGCCCTCGGCCTCGGCTGCCCCCGAGACCCTGGATTTAAGTCGGGCACGTCCCTCTACAGGAGGAGTGTTCACAAATAGTCAAAAAAACACTCCGGGGGCGATTTTTGTTGCTGGTTTTGCCCATCTGGGGGTAGTTCTCTGAGCATTCTCATTTTTTCGTCCAAGATCCCCCTGTAGGAGGACAGGCCCGACTCAACCCTGGATCTGGGCGTTTCGAGCCAGAGATCGACTTCAGCCGGACCGAGGCAGAAGTCAGCGGAGGGAAAGATACCCATGCCTCTGCCCTTCCCTGGTTTTCCCCTGTCTGGGCCTGCTGGGCGGACCTCGTCGCCACCGCTGGGTTCGCTTCGAAATCCTGGTCAGAACGCACTTCAGGAGAGGTCCAGGGCGTAGCGGTACCGGCGCTCGCGGGCGATGTTTCTCTCCCAATCCCCGAGCTTCGCCCGAAAAGTTTGGCCGCTCAGAAACATTGGAAAACCTTGGGATACACCCCAAGGGGGCTATTCGGACGCACCCCTATCGGAGATGGACACCCCCCCATCGTACATCCCAGGGTTGGGCCCCAAATTTCTGGCCCGTTCAGAAACCCCACGAAGCCTGGGATAGGGGTCAACATATCCCCTGTTAGGTGCCTTTTGATTTCCCCAGGGCCGAGGTCTAAGCTCGAGGTCGGTTCGGGGAGGGCACCCTCGTGCTCGTCGTGTCTGTCGGACGTGCTCGTGCCTCCTGGCGGGGGGGTTGGCCCTGGATGTTCTGCGTATTTTAAGTCGGGCCTGTCCCTCTACAGGAGGAATATTCAAAAATAGTACTAAAAAAGAAAATCTGGGGACCATGTTTTGACTATGTTTGAGTATGTCTTGGGCATTTGTTCCGTATTTTTTATTTCTCGTCGAAAATCCCCTTGTAGGGGGACAGGCCCGACCTAATGCTTGTTTTGGCCGACGGGGGTCCGATGGCCGCGGAAGTGCGCCGGAGTGCCCTGGACCTCGGCGTTCCTTGAGTCGGCGGCGAGCGAAGGGGGGGAAGTGAGAAGGAGAAATCCTTCTCAGAAGGCGGGACTTCTCTCAGAAGCCCATCGCGCCTGCTGAGAAGTGTTCTGTGTCTTCGGGGAAGGTTTAAGAAAACTTCTCAGAAGGCCGGGGGACTTGCGAGCCTTCGGAGAAGGCCCGCCATTTCTCATTTCCCCCCACGCTCGCCGCCAACTGAGAGCACGATTCACCGAGCCACCCCAACCCAACCCGAGGGTCCCAGACACCCCCAAACTTCGGGTTGGGGGGCGTACGGGTTCCATTGTGTTTGCTCGATGTTCCAGAATGCTTCCCCCCTCCCCTGGAGGTTGGCAGGCACAACGGCTCCTTCGGGTTGGTTGGGGTGGCCTGGCGTTAGTAGTGAGATCTTGGATCTGGGCGTCCCGTGCAGGAAATCGAGTGCAGTCGGACCGAGGTACGAGATCGAGGTCGGTTGGTGGATGGCACCCTCGTGTTCTTCGTGCCTGTCGGATGTTCTTGTGCATCCTGGGGATGGTGCCCTTGGGTGTTCTGTTTGTTTTGGCCGACGGAGAGTCTCATGTTGTTGACGGATGCTATTCTGGCCTAGGTCCGACTGTACAGCACCCTCGATATCCACTTGCCGAGCCTTCCGCGCAGCAGGGGCCGCCGCGGCATGGCCGCGGCGACCGCCGAGACCGAAGTTGGAGCCTCGACGGCAGCCGCCACTGCGGAGGAGGAGGAGGAGGAGGAGAAGGAAGAGGAGGAGGAGAAGGAGGAGGGGGAGGAGGAGGAGGAGGAGGAGGAGGAGGAGGAGGGGGAGGAGGAGGAGGAGGAGGAGGAGGAGGAGAGGAGGAGGAGGAGGAGGAGGAGGAGAGGAGGAGGGGAGGAGGGGCGGGGGAGGTAGGAGGAGGAGGAAGGAGGAGGAGGAGGAGGAGGAGAGGAGGAGGAGGGGGAGGAGGAGGAGGAGGAAACGGGACCCTCACAGATCGATCCGGCTAGAGTTACGTCGGGCCTGTCCCTCTACAGGAGGAATATCCCAAAATAGTTCAAAAAGTAGTAGGGGACGATTGTTCGATTGTTCGTTCGACTATTTTTGAGCATTGTTTGGTTATGTTTCATTTGTCGCCCAAAATCCGCCTGTAAGGGGACATGCCCGACCCAAGGCTAGAAAAATGGCGCAGGATGATTGGGTCTGGAGCCTCTGGTCGCGATGTTTCACGATGCTGCAGAGTTTCGCAGCGTCGGATCTCAGAGCAGACCCCCGACGTTGCGGGTTCTTCATGACGCGGGCCCCAGGGTGGCCTGGACCCCCTCCCGGGGGCCGGGGTTCCTCGCTGGGTCGCGCTTTCAAGACGCTGGGGCCCTGCGAGGGCCCCCCGAAGCCCGGAGCAGTGCCCAAGACCTCCCGTGGCGGGTTTGCCACGACGCGCGGAGGGTGTTTGATTTTGATGTTCGCGGTGTTGCATTCCTTCCTATATCGGATCTCAGGGTCGTCGGCGTCGTCCTCCGCGTCGTCGGCGTCGGCGTTGTCGGCGACGTCGGCGACGTCGGCGGTGGCGTCGTCGTCCGTCGTCCGTCGTCCTCGTCGGCGTCGTCGTCGTCGTGGTGGTCGTTGTCGTGGTTGTTGTCGTCGTCCTCGTGCCCATCCTCGTTGTCATCGTCATCTTCGTCGTCGTCGTCGTCATCGTCGTCGTAGTCCGTCGTCGGCGTCGTCCTCGTCGTCGGCGGCGGCGGCGGTGGGCGGCGCGCGGCGCGCTGCGGGCGGCGGTCGTCGGCGTCGTCGGCGTCGTCGGCGTCATCGTCGGCGTCGGCGTCGGCGTCGTCGGCGGCGGCGGCGTCGTCGTCGTGGTGGTCGTCGGCAGAGGCGGCAGCGGCGGCGGCGGGCGGCGGGCGGCGGGCGGCGGGCGGCGAGCGGCGTGCGCGCCGGGGAGGGGCGCCGGGCAGGCTGCCGCCGCCGCCCCTGCGCCGATGCCCGCCGCAGCGGACCCGGGGGCGGGCGGGAGGAGCAGAGTGTCGGCGTCGTCGTCGTCGGCGTCGGCGTCGTCGGCGTCGTCGGCGTCGTCGTCGTCGTCGTCGTCAGCGTCGTCGTCGTCGTCGGCGTCGGCGTCGGCGTCGGCGTCGGCGTCGGCGTCGGCGTCGGCGTCGGCGTCGGCGTCGTGGCCGCGGGCGCGGGCGCGGGCGCGCAAGCGGCCGTGGTGGCTGCCGCGGCCGCGGCGGTGGTCGCCACCGCGGTCGCCGAGGACGCCGGGGGGGCAGGGCGAGGAGCCGGGCAGGCTCACCAGGTTGTCCGCCCAGCAGAGTTGGGGATCGGGGTGTACCAGGAGGGAGCAAAACACACACACACACACACACAGACACAACGAATCGTCGACTCCCAGGAAGGAATGGGAAAACATGGGAAGTGGGGGGGGAAGACAAAAACCCAGAAGATCGGCGAAAATGTTGGGAATCCTGCTATTTGTGCGTATTTACTCGTATGTCCCAGGGCCCCTTCAGTGTACACAGCCATTGGCTCAGTGGTGTTCACAGCGCCCAAGGCCCAGGCAGAGTACAGCCTTTGCCTGCTGTGCCGCAGTTCGGTTCAGGCTGAGCCATAAAAACCATTCATCGTGTGTTTGGATATCGTCAATTATTTTCCATTCTGGGGGCTCAAGAGGCAGGGGTCAATGCAAACAGGGGTCAGTCAGAGCGCTGGCTCTTGCAGGATCCTGCACTGCCAGGGGTGCACTGACCCAGGCTCGGGTGCAGGACCTGCAGGATTTTGCAGGATCCTGCAAGGCCTGACTGGCCCGTTGGATTGACCCGGGTCAGTGCGTTTCCGAGGGAAGAGGGTCGGACACACGAAAGAAGCACGACGGACGGTTTCTCTTTATCTTCAGCCTGTGGGCAGCCCTCACCAGGCTTCGGGACCATCAGAGCACGACTCGGGATGAAACGGCGGCCCTGGGGAATGGGTCAGGACCTTTGGGGGTCGACGTTTTGCAAAAATCACGACGTCGGAGGTCTGTCGGGCGGGGCTAGGACGAGGGAAAATCCGTTCCAGAGCGTTCCAGAATGCTCTCAGAGAGTGCCGGGACGCTCTGGGAAGGCCGCGGCGCCCGATACATCCTCCAGCACCGCCGGATCTCAGAGATTTTCGCTTCATCCTCGTCCGAATGTGTCTTCGTCCTGGCCTCTGAAAGGGGGGTACAAGAACAAAGAGTGACGAGAGGAGGCAGGAGAGAAGGAGAGAGCGCGCGCGACGAGGACGAGGACGAGAACGACCACGCCGCGCCGCTGCCTCTCTCGGCTCAAAGAGACAAGCCTCCGCCCCCCTCTCTCCGAGGTCCTGCCTGCGGCAGCCCTGGGCCTTGAGCACGGTCCACATCGATGATAAGGATGGGTGACCTTCCCACAGGTGCCCTCACATCCTTGCCTCTGCGGCCCATGCTAAGCCGCTTTCGCTGGCCAGCCCCGCGCGAAGAGCCTCGACATGGGCGCCCAAGGGGCTTGCACCTTTATCGCGCATCCTTACATTGGCAGTGTGGACTGTACACCCACGGCGGTCAAAAAGAATTACCCGGGGACGTATCCAAGACTTTGTACATTTGAGAGGTGGTTACACCCAGGAATGCTCCATGCAAAAGAGCACGTTGAGGAACCCGGAGTATCCTTGAGCGCTTCACCAAAGAACGTCAGGCAACAAACAAATGCTCCCCCAGTCACAGCATCACCTCTGCCACCTACATCATAGGCAGCAAGGCGACCGCGAGCAGGCAAAAACAATTGGGGTCAAAACATACGGAGGATCGGTACATGTGGAAAGGACGAGTCAAAGTGGCATCGTTCTCTTGCACCTCATCCTCCTCCTCCTCCTCCTACTCCTCCTCCCCCTCCTCCACCAGCTCTTCATCATCCTTGCCTCCAAAAAAGCGGCTAGATTCTCACAGTTCACAGGCCCCGAGGGGACGGCGAGGTCCCACTCGGACCGGCGTAAGACATCACTCCGATGGGCCCCCAAGAGCCCCGGCAAATGGCGGCGGTTTCACAGTTCGTAGGCCCCGAGGGGACGGCGAGGCTCATTTTGATCCGCGTAAGGCGTCTCTCCGCTGGGCCCCCAAGAGCCCAGGAAAATGGGGGCAGCTTCACAGCTCCAAGGCCCCGAGGGAAGGCGATGCCTCATCTTGGTCCTCGTAAGACGTCGCTTCGCTGGGCCCCCCAGGAGCCCACGAAGGTGGCGACAGCTTCACAGTTCGCAGGCCCTGACGGGAAAGGCGAGCCTTCTCTTCTGATCCGCGTAGTTCATTACTCCGCTGGGCCCCCAGGAGCCCACGAATGGGGCGACAGTTTCACAGCTCGCAGGCCCAAAGGGGACGGCGAGGCCTCACTCCGATCCGCGCAAGACATCATTCCGCTAGACCCCCTGAAACCCGCAGGGGTGGCACCAGTTGCACAGTTCGCAGGCCCCGAGTGGACGGAGAAGCTTCATTCTAATTCGCGCAAAACGTCACTCCACTGTGCCCCCAGGAACCCACGAAAGTAACAACATTTTCACAATTCGCAGGCCCCGAGGGTACGGCGAGGCTTCTTTCTGATCCACGTAAGCAACACTCCGTCCGCTTTGCCCGCAGGAGTCCAGGAAAATTGGCATGGTTTCACAGCTCGCAGGCCTCAAGTGGACGGCGAGGATTCATTGAGATCCGCGTAATTCATCACCTTGCTGGGCCCCCAGGAGCCCACAATGGTGGCACCAGTTGCACAGTTCGCAGGCCCCGAGTGGACGGCGAAGTTTCATTCCGATCCGCGTAAGACGTCACTCCACTGTGCCCCCAGGAACCCAGGAAACCTTGGACCCCATCTTTCTGCGCCATTTTTCTTGCGGGATCGATCGTTCGTCTCCTCCTCATTCTCCTCTTCCTTCTCCTCCTCCTCCTCCTTCTCCTCCTCCTCCTCGTCTCCTCCTCCTCCTCCTCCTCCTCCTCCTCTTCCTCCTCCTCCTCCTCTTTCCTCCCCCGCCCTTCCCAACCCCCCTCCTCTTCGGACACGCACGCATGCCTGACACCCACAAAGAGCATCGATAATCTAACGTGTCGGAGACTGCCTTCAACACCAGGGTTCGGCGTTTCAGTCGTTTCCCATGCACACGAGACAAAATGAATTCAAGGTGGTTTGAGATAACATGAGACACATTCACATGCACATGAGACAAAGTGAATGACATCGGCCCATGTCCTTGCTTGGAGGTGGTGGACAGCCAAGCGCAATGTTGCAAAGGAGTGGTTGGATGATTACTCGTCGATCAAACCTAACTTGTCAAATACAGGCCGCGCCTGCGCGGAGGAAGGACCTTCATGGATCGGCCAAGACATGCTTAAGTGAGGAGACGAGTGCACCGTGTGCACCAGGGCGGGTACTTGCGTTGAGCGTTCGAAAGAGGGCACATTCACAGTACGTTATTCCTCGGCTTTGACAAAAAAGGTATTGACGACGAGTGGCCGCATCCTAAAGCAGCCGTTGCAATTCAAGCATCAATACTTCAATCGTCTTGTGGCCAAATTGGCACGCACTAGTCTAACAGGATCAAGGTTCCGATCTGGTGAAGGAGCCGTCGTTTGTTTCTCGCGCGCACACAACCCCGGTACGTTTCCGAACGAGCGCTATGAGGTCTGAGCTGTCCTACTGGTGTGAGTCTGTCGGGTAAGGAAGCCACACGCAAAGATGGCGCGCATATGGTGCCGCATGCCTCGGACCGCAGGCTTTGAAAGGTGACCCTCAAAGGAAGTGGCGCAGAGATAACTTCGCTTCGGGCCGCCACCCGAAGAACTGCAAGAAACACCTTGTCCCAGCACCGAAACGCTTGCTGGTATCGGACCCTGCGGTCCAGTGGTTCGGGCTCCTCGCTCGATGCATGGTTAAGTCGTTTGCGTCTTATACGCGTTGCCGCCAGGTCGGCCCCAGCGGGCCTTCCTGGCGGGAGGGTTCGTCGCACGTGCCGCGATGGTCGTCCGTGAGCACTTGGTGCTGCGGGCCCTCCCCCACTTCCGACTGTGTGAGAATGTGCGGTTCATTGTTTGCTTTGATTCTTTTCCACCGTTGTTGTCTTGACGTCGGTGCGTCTCCTCATGCGCAAGCTGGTCCTCCTCCTCCTCCTCCTCCTCCTCCTCCGCCCTACCCCTCCTCCTCCTCCTCCTCCTCCTCCTCCTCCTCCTCCTCCTCCTCCTCCTCCTCCCTCCTCCTCCTCCTCCCTCCTATCCCTCCTTCTTTCTCTCTTCCTCCCCTCCATCCTCCTCCCTCTCCTCCTCCTCCTCCTTCCTCCCTCTCTCCCTCCTTCTTTTCTCCTCCTCCTCCTCCTCATCTTCCTCCTCCTCCACCTCCTCCTCCTCGTCCTCCTCCGCACTCCCCTCCCCTCCCTACCTCCTCCTCCTCCTCCTCCTCCTCCTCTCTCTCCTCCCCTCTCCTCCTCCCCTCCTCCTCCTACTCTCCTCCTCCCTTCCGCCACTCCCCATCCCCCCCTCCTCCTCCTCCTCCTCCTTCTCCTCCTCCTTCTCTCCTCCTCCCTCCTCCTCCTCCCTCCTCCTCTCCTCTCTCCTCCTCCTTCCCCTGACTCCTTCCTCCTCCTCCTCCGTCCCTCCCCCTCTCCTTCCTCCTCATCCTCCTCCTCTCCTCCTCCTCCTCCTCCTCCTCCTCCTCCTACTCCTCCTACTCCTTCCCCCTCCTCCTTCCTCGTCCTCCTCCTCCTCCTCCTCCTCCTCCTCCTCCTCCTCCTCCTGCTCGTCGTCGTCGAGAGCTTTAGGACGGCCGAGGCCTCAGGAGGACCGAGGGTCGAGGAGGATCGAGTTTCGAAGGGGGTCTGGATGGAGGTCTTTGGAGAATCGGAGATCCAGGGGGACGCTGCACGAACGAGATGGGCACGGAAAGAATGGGTACAATGCTCAACAGCAGTTCCTGTTCATTTTGACCAGGACCCGCTGTCCGCGCCGCCGCGGCCTGTGTCCATTCAAGACAGAAGGCCACCTGCCCAACAGCGGCCGCTGTTGGTTTGGGGCAACATTTGTTGTTGGGCATTGTGCCCATTCTTTCCGTACCCATTTCGGGCGTCCAAAGGGATCGAAGAGCGATCGGCGGGAGGAGGGGGTCAAGGATCGACGAGGGAGGTCGCGTTTTGTTTGGAGCGAGCGGCGTCGAGGTGGCCCAACGTCGCGGATCGAGGATCGGATCCATGGGGTCGAGGTGGTCGAGGTGGAGCATCCCTGAAGCGCGCGAGGCCTCCATGTTTCCTGGGCCGACGGCCTTCCTCAGGGGGGCTTCCAGAGGCCCCCCCTTGGGCCCGCAGAGATGTCCAGCGCCTTTCTACGGAATCCACACGACCGCTTCTTGTTGTACGATCCTTGTTCTCTGGAGGCCCGTCTCTCGGACCCCGTAAGCGCCAAACACCGGTACAAGAAGTCGTCGTTTTTTGATTCATTGTTTTGCCGATCGGCGCGGGCCTTCGCACCCCTCACCCTCCCCCTCCCCCCCCCCGTGGAGTAGATCTTGGCTGCTTTTGACGCCTGTTTCGAGCAGGCGGAGTCTCCCCACAGGACGCACTGCTGCAAACAGTCGCACGAAGCAGAGGTCCGGAGCCAGACCCCCACCTCCCCCTCCCCCCCCTTCCGCCCAATGTCGAAACGCCGAACACAAAAAAGCTCACTAACAGAAGTAATAAAAAAACACATGTGCAGCCGCACAGCAGGGAGTGGAGGACCCCGAGCCGATTCCAGCATCTGCGCCGTCAGCGTGAGCCCTTGCCGCGCCGAGCTGCGAGAGCATCCCTTGCGACAGCTTCTGGAAGGGCGAGGGCCTTTTCGGAATCTGGCAGACGCGACCCGCCAGAAGCGCAGCGGTCGCTATGTAGACACTACCAGCGAAGGCGGTTCGAAGACCTGGGGCACCGAACACACTTGGAGTTCGCCATGGCAGCACAAGTGTTCGCCGCAGTTGTTTCGTAAGCCGCCCTTGCGGCTTTGTTCGTTTTATCGCCCATGCCTTAGCGTCAAGACCCTGACATACAGAACACGTGGGGCTCAGGAGGGGCTTTGGCTGTCTTGCCAGGTCGGGGATCCTGTTCGTGGCCGAGGCTCGCCGTGGCCAGAACAGCCCCGTTGCTTAGCGATCCGAGTCGTCGCACGAAGCACGACGTGATTCGTTTAAATGTTATCTCGTGCCCCCTGACGAAAGGATGCCATCCATGCCGAGCACAGTTTCTCAAGCTATGGGAGGACGAGCCGGTAGAGGTCCGGCTGGAGATCTCGTTCAGACAGAGGCATGGCCATCGGCACATCGTTGTCCCCCGATTTGCAAGCAAGACGATAGCAGCGCTCTCAAATTCTAGACGCTTCCAGTAACCCACCAGCCCATCCAGAAACGATGCCAGGGCGAGTTGCCTTGATGAGGGATATGAGGGAGCATGAAGTGAATAAAGGGCTGGGGAAGCCGCCGTACCCCAAGAGGGGGAGGATGAAGGAGGAATCGCAGGAGGAGGAGGAGGAGGAGGAGGAGGTGGACTGACTGACTGTAGACTGTAAAAAGACGATGTCTTCCCAACAAGCAGACCAAGGAACGGTGAGAAGACCACGTCGGCCGTGACTCGCTGCCCGCACGAGACGGCTCGGTGCGTAGGGTGGCATGGTCCCCTGAAGCCTTCACCGTTATTTCAGGTTCCTCGGCCAGGAAAACCACGACCAACCCTGCCGAATCGAGCGGCATGCGCAACCGGACTGTACGAATACGACAAGCCCAGGGCGGGTGGACACAAGGTCCCATGGGGTTCACGGGCCACACGACCCCACCTCCCGACCAAGTGCGCAATCCCCGTGCCTGGTACCCACCTCCAGGCCACGGGCGCCGCTAAGGCGCCACATGCGGACAAGCAAACTGCTTGCCGCTGGTTCCGAAAATTGGACCCGGTTGCTTCTCTCCTTGCCTGCTGCAGCGAGCAGCCCTGATAGTATGCCCTGTACGTGAAGACTGAGTACCAGGATACGGTACCCAGTGCCCACGCGTAGGGCTGGAGGAGGAGGAGGTGGAGGAGGAGGAGGAGGAGGGAGAGGAGGAGGGAGAGGAGGAGGAGGAGGAGGAGGAGGAGGAGGAGAAGGAGAAGGAGGAGGAGGAGGAGGAGGGGGAGGAGGGGGGAAGGAGGAGGAGGAAGGAGGAGGAATAGGCGGATGATGAGGAGGAGTGCAAGGAGGAGGAGGAGAACCATTGCAAACCCAAGACTCTTCAACGATGTTGAAATTCACCCTCCCTCCAAGATCCCTCTGCATAGGCCCTTACAAGGGGTCATGTCCACAGATGGAACTGACCTGTAGGGGGACAACTGTGTGAACGCCTTGCAGTGCACCAGAACATCATTCTCTGGACTTCAACGCCACGAGTTAACCTGATTGCTTGTCTTGGCGAACAGGAACCGTGCCAGAACACCGTTCTTGAGACTTCCATACAGCGAATCAACGCAACTGTTGCGCCTGGACAGTCCTAAAACACTCCAAAAGCGATTCTGGTACGTTGCCCATGAGAAGCAGTGAAACTTATGCCAATGTTTAAAACGAATGTGTGCGGCACTGAGGCGAGAGCTGCATTTTGACAACCACCCGACGCCAATCCGCCAAACTATTGAACACGGTTGGAAAGAATGCGCGCGGCGAGAAGGCGAAAGCTATAGTTTGAAAATCACCCGCCCTCAACCCGTGAATCCGTAAAACTCGTGCAACTGCTTAAAACGAATGTGTGCGGCGCTAAGGCGAGAGCCACAGTTTGAAAACGGCCCGCCCTCAATCCGTGAATGTTATGCAATTTGTGTACATGAATTCGCGCGGCGATAGGCGAGAGCCACACTTTGAAAACCACCCGCCCTCCGTCCGTGAAGCCGTTGCCAAGGTTTAAGCATCAGGGTCATAAATGGTCAAGAAGTCTCAGGCGAAACGCTCGGCCCGCCCTTTCGATCAGCCTCGGGGTGCGGCAGGGAGGAGTTACCCAGTAGGAAATGGAACGGAGGAGGAGGAGGAGGAGGAGGAGGAGGAGGAGGAGGAGGAGGAGGACGAGGGCGAGCAGAAAGACCAGAGGCCTCTTGGATGCCTGTCGGAGTTTTTTGGGGTCCTCTTTGGGTGACTTGGAGGCCTCCTGGCGGCCCCAGGGGCCTCACGGAGCGTCGTGGGTGCCTCGGGAGAGCTTGTTGGGGCCTCTTCAGGGTCTCTTGGGAGCCCCTTGAGGACCTCTTGGGGCCTCCTGTGCGCCTCTTGGGTGCCTCTTGGGGCCCTCTCTCTTGGGGTCCTCGTGGGAGCCTTGGGGGCCATCTCGGTGCGATCTCGGACGAGACCGATCAAAGAAGGGGGGATACTAAAGCAGGCCCACCCCCCATTGGAAGCCAAGATGGGTCCAAAACCTTAGAAAAAGCAGTCAGGCCCTCCCCCCCCCCTATAGGAGGCCAAGATGGGCCCAAAACCTTAATGAAAGCAGTGATGCGTGCCTTCTTGCCGAGGCCGTCTCGGACGCTGCGGTCGCAGCCCTCCCCCCTGTTATTTTTTTTTTTTTTTTCCAGATCAAGGAGGAGGAGGAGGAAGGAGCAGGAGGAAAGAAGAGGAGGAAGGAAGGAAGAGGAGAAGAGGAGGAGGGAGGGGAAGAGGGAGGAGGGGAGGAGGAGGAGGTAGGAGAAGCTAGGGAGGAGGAGGAGGAGGAAGGCGGAGGAAGGAGGAGGAGGAGGAGGAGGAGGAGGAGAAGCGAGGAGGAGGAGGAGGAGGAGGAGGAGGAGGAGGAGGACGGGAGGAGCGTAGGAGGAAGAAGGAGGAGGAGGAGGAAGAGGAGGAGGAGGAGAAGAGGAGGAGGATGGAGGGGAGGAGGAGGTGAGGAGGAGGAGGGGAGGAGGAGGAGGAGAAAAAAGAAAGGGGGGGGGGAGGAGGAGGAGGAGGAGGCAAGGAGGAGGGAGGAGGGGATGATGATGATGATGATGATGAGGATGATGATGATGGATGATGATGATGATGATGATGATGATGATGAGGATGGAAGGATGAGGCTGTAGGATGAGGATCAGGATCAGGATGAGGATGAGGATGAGGATGAGGATGAGGATTGAGTGAGGATGAGGAGGAGGATGAGGATGAGGATGAGATGAGGATGAGGATGAGGATGAGGATGAGTAGGGGAGGAGGAGGAGGAGGAGGAGGAGGAGGACGGAGAAGGAGGAGGAGGAGGAGGAGGAGGGAGGAAGGAGGAGAGGGAGGGAGGGGAAGAGGAGGCAGGGAGGAGGAGGAGGAGAGGAGGAGAGGGAGGAGGAGGAGGAGGAAGGAGGAGGAGGGGAGGGGCGGGTAAACCCGCCCGGGGGGGAAGAGGGGGGGGGGTGAAGCGGGAAAGCAGGCGGAGGAGCCTTTATTTCTTTTCTTTTTGCCCAGCCCGCGCGAGCCATTCCTGGACGATCCTGGCCAGAGTGTCTGGAGTTCTGTCGCTCCAGCCTAGAAAGATTCTTCAGGCTTCCGCCACATCCGCCGACCCCTTGGATTTTCCCCGGGATCGTTCACCACAGCTTCCTTGCAAACCGTGGGAAAATGAGGTTGTTCAGGGCCCGTCACAGCGAGAAGGGGAGCCGACATGGGTCGCAAACTGGCCCAGAGGGCTTCCAGACGGCCCAAGCGAACCCCAAGACGGCACAGGGAGGTGTTTTGGGTTGTGTTTGGGGCCTTGCACGGGTGCCGGAGCCAGGGAAGTATGTTACACCCCGGAGACATCTTACGGTTGTCGGCGGTTTCCAAGCGGGATGTCCCGCTAATTGTTAATGTTCGGAGATGTTTGGGCTGACCTTGTCGATGGCATTGACGTCGTTGATGATCACGACACTGATGACGATGATCGGCTCCCTCTCCTCCTCTCCTCCTCCCCCTGCTCCTCCCTCCTGCTCCTCTTTCTGCCTCTCCTCCTCTTCCTTCTCCTGCCCTTCCTCCTCCTCCTCCTCGTCCACGTCCTTCTTCCTTTCCCTTCCCCGCCTTCTTCTCCTCCTCCTTCTTGTCCTTCTCCTGGTGTTCCTCCTCCCGCCCTTCGTCCCTCTCCTCCTCCTCCTCCTCCTCCTCCTCCTCCTCCTCCTCCTCCTCCTCCTCCTCCCCCGCCTTCTCCTCCTCCTTATCCCCCTTCCCTTCCCGGCCTTCTCCTCCTCTTCCTCCCCCTCCTTGTCCTCTTCCTCCTCCTCCTCCTTCTCCTCCTCCTGCTCCTCCTCCCCCCCCCCTCCTTCTCCTGTCGCGGGGCCCTCGTGGAGGCTTCTTGGACCGTCTTGGCGCGGTCTTGGGAGGCTCTCGGGCCGCCCGGAGCGCCCCAGAAGGCGCGCGTACGAAAAATACACGTGTTACGAAGAGAACGGGCGATTTTATACAGCGAGAGGCCCTCCAGGGGCGCATAGTGAAAGCCTCGTGGGGCGTCTTGGGGGGCCTCTGCAGCCGTCGGGAGGCCGTCGTCAGCGTTTTGGATCGCTCTTGGACCGTCGAGGACCATGTGGAGCTCTCGTCGAGGCCGCTCGGACCGCTCCTGGAGCGCTCTCGGAGCCGTTTTCGGAGCCCTTTTGGGCCGTCTTGGACGTGTGTTTGCGCGTCTTGGGGCCCTCGAGGGCTCTGTGGGAACCCTCTTGGGGGCGTCTTGGGCCGTCTGGGAGCGGGTTTGGGTGGCTCTGGGGCCGTCCAGGAGCGGGGGACACCCCAAAAGGCGCACGTGTGAAACAATATACGTTTGACGAAGGAAACGAAGGATTTTTTGCTGCGTCTA